GTTGTATTTAAGTCGTGGCTTATCTCAGAGTAATATATTTGCATTTTAAAGATTATTTGTAATTTGTTTTATATTTTATGTTTGAATCATTTGAGTTATTGTTATTCAAACCGTGATTTGCCTTGAGCTTAAGCGGCCAAAAAATCGATATGTTCAGGTCTAGACACTCACATACACATACACAAACACACACACTCACACGCATATACAGTTACTCGCACACTCGTTTTCAATACGTGCTTCTCTTGTACTGCTTTTCATGATTATTTTGTCAAGCTTTCCAGTCTGCAGCTTAGATGTGTGCCTATCCATTTCTCTCTCGGCTTCGCTCTCTTCCTCTCATTCTGTCTCTCATTCTTTGCCTTTTTCACACTTTTGTGTCTGTCAGCTTGCATTGGTTTGGGTGTTGACTTTGACATTTGTTTTGTGTGGCTTATCCTTCAATGCTCACCACAATAGCATCAATCGTCGCGTATTTTTTGTCATCTGTTTAGCCAAGTTTTCGTTTTCATTGTGAGTGCCGCTACAATGGCTTTTAAATGGACGCTTCTTCGGTCTACCCCCACCTCCCCCTCAGCCAACAAGTGCTGCTTCTGCTCTTCTCGCTGGTGCTGCTACGGATTCATGGCTGCCTACTTTACGGCCAATAAAATCCCAACGCCTTAGGCGTACGTTCCACTTTCAATGCCCCCTCCCCCACGTATTACAGTGCCCTTTCCGGTAGTCGCCCCAATCTCTTGCCCTAATCGTTTACAGTTGGCAGCATGGCATATTTATCTATGTAGTTGAAATTGAAAAGCTCACAGGCGCTATCTGCCTTTTGTGTGAGTCTGCTCGGCTTGCAATCGAGAAAGCGAAAATTAAATATATATATATATATCTAAATCTATATATGTATATATTGATGTATACATATATATATATATTTATGTGTATATCTGTGTTCGCAATACGGCAGATAATAGGAGAAGAAGTGCAGAGGAACAGACATGGAACGGTTTGTAAGCGCCTTAAGTCGGGTGATTTATTTGCAGGCTGCGTGCGCAAATTGGGCTGGGAATCCATTTAAAGTTCAAGTGTGTCATTGCATTCACAATGGTGATGATGATATTCCCATTCCATAATTTGGCATATATGAAAATAAATTGGCATTTTGCGCGCCACAGTTTTTATGTCAACAAAAAAAAAAAAAAACCTAATAGACAATTTCCTCTGACACATCAATGTTTTCTTATCTTTAATTTTTTTTTTTTAATTTGTATACCCTCGATATAAATAGATAGGAAAGAGGTGTGTTGACAAGCACAGCGAGAAGAGCATGTAATTGTGTATTATGTCGTATTATATTGGGATATTTTCTTTGAAGTAAGCTGAATGAAAATTATTTCTTGCAATAATTAAGTTAAGAGTGCAGAGTGTCCTTTAGCCATATACTTTATCTGGATTGACAGGATATGTTATGTTCAGCTATATGTCAAAACGAAAGTTTTTGTGTATCTTTATACTTAACTTTGATTTTTATTTTGTGTTAAATCAATAAGAGAACTGCGTTGACTGGACCCAAATATATGTGACATGAACTGGCAGCTGTTAAGATCTATATAAGCCACAACTGACGCAAGAAATTGCTTTTCGAAAATATTTACATGTGTATTAATGTGGCTTAGTTGAGGTCGAAGGTCAATTTTAAAAATTCGGTAGGGTAGTCAATTTAATACACATGTCTCACATGACTAAAGCAGTACAACATTATCAAAAATATAAAATCACTTAATTATAAAATATAAACACAAACTCATGGCATAAATACGAAGCTGATTAAAGCTGAAATGTTAAGGCAAATACTCTGAATAAGCGTAATTGAATGAACCAAAAGTTTTGATAGTGTTGTACAAAACATAGAGTAATACAAAACCCATTTAGCAAAGCACAGGTGCGGCACACAAGGCTCAGGTGTAGTGGTTGATAAACACAAATAGGCAATCCTACAGCAATGTGGGTTGTGCTCGTGGTAAATTAAAAGTTTTTGTTATTAAATAAAAGTGAAATGCAAGTTAATTAATTAAAAGTTTAAACAAGATAGGGCATGCACAAAGCTTATTAACAGAGTATACCCGGTTGGGCGTGGCTTAGCACCAGTACCACCAGCAATTCAATGTGGTTTGAGTGCCCCGGAAAGTATGTTAAGCTTAATTAGCAGCGTCTTCTGATGCCGCATTGTATCTTAGCCAAGTGCAGCTTTCCACTTGCAAATAATGCTCCGGGTCTGCACATGTATACATATATACATATATATACATCCGGGCCACAAGCTGTGTTGCTGTTTTGTTGTTGTTTTTGTTTTTGCTTTTGCCTCGGCATGTGTGTTATAATTTGGCAACAGTTTTAAGCAACACAGACAGCAGCAGCATTGGCGACAGTAACAACAAACACGCTGTAGACAGCTCCAACAAACTAAATACAATAAGAGACGAGGACGCACAATGCCAAGAGCATAAGCGATGGCCACGTCAACAGCAAAGGCACCAACAACAACAACAACAGCAACAACAAAAAACAACAACTGTGCATAGCTAAATTCAATAAAAAGAAAAATAATAATAATATTTATTTTCATGACATTAACATTGGAAGCAGATTTTCCAAAGGCGTTGACTGAGCAATGGAAACAAACGAATTTTCCGAAAGATACACAAATGCATAGACACAGATACAGATACAGATACAGAGGCCAAAGCAATTGACAGCTGAGAATGGCGCATTTTGTCGGTCAATTTTGGATGGTTCCATGTTTGGCTCTTCCGCTTGTGGCCTGTCGCCGCTTGTCAGTTTTTGCCTCTTTGAATGAATATTGCTGAGATGCAGCTCATCAATGGAAAAAAGAAGATTCATAAATAAATAATGTACATTTTGAAAAAATTCTAGCTCATGTTTCCCTTTGTTTTAGGTAATTTCTTTTTATATCTTTTGAAGTTAAATTAATGGAAATTAGTTTGGCCACAAAAATTAATCATACACCCACACTGCTTAAGGCAATGAGTGTCGGTCGCTTGCTACAAAATTATACATTTTAAAATTAATAAAAATATATACATACGTATATAAACATACATATATATGTACTGGCAGCAGCAGCGATGCTGCGGTGACGCCAACGCCTCTGCCTCTGCCTCTGCCTCAGCGGCAGCGCTTTGATGAGCAGTGACAAACATCTTTAAGATACGAATACATATTTTTAAACAAAATTATCGCATTATTTTTGTTTCCTAAATTTTAATTTTTGTCATGATGTTTCTGGTGCTGGTTTTCATTATTTATGCGCATTAAATTTATATTTTATAGAATTAAATGTATTTATGTATATACATATAAAAATGTACACATGCACATATATTTATTTGATTTTCTATTTCCATTTCCTTGCAGTTGCTTAATTTGGAAGAGCGCCAGGGCGTGGCGATGTCACCAACTACAAAGTCATATTTTGCTATATGCTTTGGCTCAATGCCGGCAACTTTCTACACTGACAGTTGCCTTAACAGTACTTCAGCTCTTAGTGATGAAATGAAACCCAAGCACCAAAATCGAAACGCAAAAACCAAGTCAAAATCATGTGTGTGCTAAAAATGTGTCATGCCAACGAGTAAATCCAAAATGAAATACCCCTACGCAACTGGGTGTCTAATTTAAAGCTAGTGGCCGCCAAAACGCGAGTGGCCAATTTGTTGTGTGTGCGGCAACAACAATAACAACAGCATTATTAAAAAAAACACATCAAAAAGGCGGCCACGTTGTGAACGCTAAAAGCGTGTGTGAATATGAAAATAAAACATCACCAGGAAATTAATTCAGAAAATTATAATTCTAAATATACACAAAATTACATATACGCAAACAATTATTTCATGTGGTATACATATGTATATATATAAAGATAAAGATAAAGCTAAAGATAAAAGCAAGTCAAGCGGCAAGTAGAAGAAACAAAGTGATAAGAATAATAATAATGACACTAGGGACTTTGTCCGCCCTTATGCTGCCTGTTTAGCCCATGTAAAGGGAACAAAAACAAAAGGGAAATATAAATAAAAAAATGGCCATATATGTTAAAATGTTTTGAAGCCAGCGAGCAATATAAAGATAGTGACATTCTTGGCACAGCTGTTGTCATATAAATCATTAGGACCCTACAGGGTGACTATAAAAATTGATATTAATGCCAAATAGTTGCACATATCAATATTGCAAGAGCTTAGATTAGAGAATTGTTTCATATTAATACATATAAACTTATACACTATTCAGTATTTTTATGTACGCAAGGAAACACCCTGTATTTAATGGTAGACGTCAAATATGCAGCAGGCCACTAATTTATTTTTGATATTTCAAAGATTGATCGTGTATAGAAATAAAAGAGCGTTCAGCTTAATACTCTTGGCAGATCTAGAATAAATTTAGAACTTTGTGCTTTTACTGGCTCCGGCAGCAGACACCCTATAGGCTTGGGCCACTCAACAAAAACAAGAAAACCATTTGAAACACGCGGGCAACAGCAATAAAATATCTACGTCAGCAAATAAACAAATATTGGCTAAAATCAATACAAATGCGAGCGGTAGCAAAAAATTATACTCATATGTACTACTAACAGCAAACAACTTAATTCATATACATAATTGCAAAAAATGCTTTTTACCATATTTTGTTGTATATCAATCATTTTGTTTTTATGGCAGAACAGCAAACGCTTCGAAATATTTTGAGTTAGTGCAATATAAATGTGAGAACCACTTGCACGAACTATACTAAAAATAAATTAAAGACAAGAAATGTTAAAAATATATCGTAAAGAATACTGAAATATTGTGGCAGCAGCAGAAGCTAAGCGACACGATACACGCAGCAGCAAAAGCAAAAAAAAAAAAAAAAAAAACAGAAAATATACAAAATTAAAACTCAGCCGCTTGAGGCAAAAGAAGAAAAACCCAATCTACGAACAGAGTCGACAACAACAACAACAACAATAATTATAAAAACAGAAGCCACATAGCTAAAGCGACAAGAAGTCCAGCCGAGTCAGCAGCGGCAGCGACGCCTCGCCTCCATAATAACATTATCATCAACATCAACAACAACAAGAACAGCAAGCAGCAAGAAGCAAGCAGCAAGCAGCAGCTGAAGCAGCGACACCGCTAAGAGAAAGAGTGGGCGTCGGCTGGCGTTGGCAAGGACAGCGGAACGTGGACGTTGGCGTTGACGTCTACGTCTCTGTCACCGTCACCGTCGCATGGATCGCGCCACATTGGCGAATCAATTTCCGTTGCGGTGGCCGATTCAGTTTTGGTTTCAACGTCGCTAGCGCCACGCGTGTCGCGAATCCCTAATGGCGCACCACCTCGCCGTCGGTGTCTGCCCAGCGCATTAACGCTCAAGTTCAACATATTGACACCGATGCCAAGTTCCCAAAGTTAAGCAAAGCAAAAAATTATAATAAATAAAAAGAAAATAGAAAAACCAGGCACAACGGCCACAAGTGAGACCAAAAAGTTACAGGCCTTTGCCATAAACCGTACGCGAGTGTTAAACCGGACGTGTCCGTAGTGAAATTCAAGTTAAGTGCCAGCCATGCAAAGCTTGCAGCTGGAGTTGGGCCAGCTGCCCGCGTTGCCTACTGCAGCGGCAACCACAACAATGCGACACAGAACCAGCGCAACGAGGATACGCAAAAGACACTGCCGGTGCAGCCAGCGACCAGTGTTCGAATCAGAGCAGCAGTCAGGTACACAGTCTCAACGAGCAGCAGCACAACAACGCACCACAACAACGACAACTTCCAATAGCAATCTCAGCCTCAATCTGACGCTGATCAGCGCCACGGCGGCGGCTCTTCTGCACACAACGAATGCGCTGTCGGCAACAGTTGCAGCTGCAGCGGCTACAGCAACAGGCGGAGGAGCTGGCGTTGTTGACGCCGTTGCACTGCCAGTGCAAGGCACTGCCACTCCCCTGCCCGCCACGCATGAACTTAATGCTACGCTGCTAAGCAGCACGGCTGCTGCGCTGTTCAATGACAGTCGAGCTCAGCTGGAGGCGGGCGTTGAAGCTGGCGGATTAGCCGAGGATTGGTTTGACGATGTGTTCTGGGTGCTTAAAGCATTCGTCATGCTGTTCATCATCATAGCGGCCATTGCTGGCAATCTGCTTGTTATTATTTCTGTGATGCGTGTTAGAAAATTAAGGTGCGTATACGAAATGTGCTTAACTGTACCCGTTAATTTGTCAAACGCAGACACAGTGAGCATCTACCAACCTCCTCGCCCTCTGTCCCCTCGCCCCTTACGGATAACGCTTACATTCTAATTATCAGTGAAAAGCAATTAGCGTTTCTTTTTCTGTCTGCTTTTTTGTGGTAATTGCTTCAAATTCCTGTAGCTGTAGCACCTCCTGGGGCTGCCTTGATTGCCAATTTGCGCAAAAGCCCCAATCCACATCCCCAACCCCCAACCACCATCCGTCCCTCATTCGCATGAGCACACCTGGCGCTGACTTAACACCTTCTAATTATTCCGCTTTCCTATGCTCAATTTTTGTCAACTTTGTATAATATTCACGAACGTCCGCCAGCCGTATTCCATGTCCGCATCCGCATGCACATCCACATCCGTATTCCCGTTCGTTTCCTGATTACGCGCTCGCTTTGCTCTCCGACTTTTCTTTCAATTCGCTTGTGGTTTATGTTCCTGCTTCGTTCCCTATTTATTTATCACATAATTGAGCGTCCCCGCTTCCCCTAAACTAATTTTCCCGAGTGTTCTACTCCATCCAGCATTATTTGCATTTTACTTTCATTGGCTGGCATCTCTGCGCACAGTAAATATATAAGACAAGCTAACAACGAACTGATCCCATTGTCAGAAAATACACTATACCATTATTATTATTACACTATACCACATTATTAGCTGATTAAAGTGCACATATAAGAAAATAAATAAATATATAAATAGGCCACAGAATAGCCGTTCTAAAATGTATCAAAGAATATTTTTAAGAATGTAACTAAATTGATTTTTGTAGAGAAACTGTAATCAATCAAAGCCAAGTTATGAATATGCCTTTTGTGGTCGTAGTTTTTGGAGCATTTACATAATTAATTAAATGTTTTTCATTTTAAATATTATTCTATTTTTTTAGTGATAAAAGTGTACACAAAAGTTATTCTTGGGGCAATTTATAATTTAATGGAATTTTATTTATTTATTGTACGATGCAGTAAGTTTAATGACTGTTGTTTACGTGATCAAAAATGAATTTTGCATTAAATGAGATAGTTTATTTCAATGATCTGTGACAATTTACAGTAAATTGCTCAATATATATGCATATATAACCATGAATCGTATTTTTATGCGAAGCACATTATACTTTTAGAAATATTGCTGCAATCAAATCAAATGCAACTATCACAGAGCGGATCCATATTAAAAGAAGCATCCCAACAAAGCAACAAAATCATTTTTATTGATAATTTGACCATTAATTGAGTTGCATATACAATGAATATTTTCGAGTGTGGTTTATACTTTGTGAATTCTGTTTTTGGCTATTCATAGCTATGCATATATAAACTGTCTGCTAGCTCATCATTCCTCCCCAATGGCAAGCCAATAAACCTTCCTTATATCCATTTGCAACTAAAATATAAATATAGCCACTCAAGCAAAGTGTGTATCTGTGAGAGAACAAACACTTGTCAACATCTCAACGAGACGACCTCACTAGATGCGCTGTCAACTACCGGCACGGTGGAGCAGAGGTGGCGTCCTTCGCTCGACATTTATATTGGGAGACATTATCATAAAAAGTTTTCTAGTGATAAATGATGGGACGTCAGCTTGCCTCGGTTCGTTAATATTTTTAGTTATGCCTTAATAACTGGCAGGCAAATCAATTTAGCGCTTCATAAAACTCTCCCGGGTCGTCCTACGACTGGGTTGGACAGGGTCACATAATCAAAGTTAACTTCGTCTTTGAGGCCTGCAATCAACAGATCTAGCTTGCAAGATTTTTCCACACCCCTTTTAGCATACATTATTATTTCCTTTTTCTTTCTTTCATAAGTCCGTTTAATGCAAATTTTTTCGCAGGACTGAAAACTTTAAATACTCTGGGCCCAAGAAGCGAGTGGAAAGGCCCGAGAAAATGAAGCAAACAAACTTTGTTAGATAGCAGTAGATATAATAACAAGGGGTCGGTGTGCTGCGCATAATTAAGGTTGAACGTCTCTTAATTTTTCTTTTTGCTGCTACTAATGAGCAACATTTTATTTTTTAAGTGACTTGCGTGTCGGCGGCCCCAGAGCCAAACTAATAATGATACAAATGCTCATCATGCTGATAATCATGATGATGATGATGCTGATAATGAGGATGGTGGTACTGATGGTGTAGCTAGGACTTTTATGTGCATTTAGTCAACTTCTTACCAAGGCCATGTGCGTCCTTTGGATGTATGGATATAAATCTAATTTCTGGCCAAAATTAATGCCGGCCAGTCGCAAACTAATAACGAAATCCAAAGCAACATGCGGCTTATAAATGGCCATCTGCTGTTGCCCACGAGCTACAAATCTATCTATTGTTCTTTGGTGCAAAAATTACGCATAGATGCGACATCCCTCGAAACGAAGCCATAAAGAATGGAATGTATAAAAAAAAACCAATAAAAGAGAAAACCAACTAAACCGAAAAGATACAATAATAAAGCATGACAGTTAAAGTTATAAAAAAAATCGACAAAAACAGAATGTAGTCGACAAAAACGCAAAGGATGAATATAATATATTGCTAGACCCAGAGTGCTGGACTGGAAGACACTCAGCATAAAACTATGCTAATCTTAGTACTCAGATATAAAAACAAATTGTTACGCTGAATTGATAATAATTGGATATGCATGTATTTATTAGATTTACCATGTGGTGGAGCAGAAAGAAACCGAAATTCAGATAAGTCTGAGAAATTCATATAGTCGAAAAATGCACATGGCTACATGAACTTGCTGATATTTATGACAGCCGCTGTTGCCCACTTTACGGGGTATTAAGAAAAGAAGTGACACAACAGAAACAGAAGCCCCTAGGCAGCAACTTTGGCAATTAAGGCAGCTTATGGTTTTTATGACAGCATAAATTTAAAATGTTCTATACGCCACGCAATAAAAACGTTTGCCGCCGTGTTTGAAATTATTTTCACATTTTCTGTTGTTTTTTCTTGATTTTTTTTTTTTTTTTGGTATTCTGAGGATGAGCCTCGAGCGAGATTCGCAGTAACAGTTGTGTATGTCTGTAGCAAGTAGCAGCCAATATGTGGCAACCATTTGCCGTTACATAGAGGCTACTCATTAACGCCGCCTTCACTTGAAGGATGCTCGAAAACTGTTTCCGCCCAGCTCTCAACGTCAGCCGCCAAAGTGTTTAAATGTGCTGAAATAAGCATTTTCCTCCCTTTTTTTGTTTCGCAAGTAGCCTCGTAGATTATAGACATAGGTGCAAGCGAGTAGGAACATTAAAAAAAGGGAGCGGCAGAAGCAGAGGTAGATAGAGAGCTGAATAATGGCAAACATTTACAAAATAGCGGCGATTTGTTGCAATTAACGTTGAAAGTTATTTAAGAGCTTAATAAGTTGTGCGAGAGAAATAGATTGAAAGCATGCCAAAGCAGACAACTTAAAGAGAAACACTTATTTAACATTGCAGTGCATTAGGGCTCATGAGAATAAATTAGATGGATTGAGACGGGCACCTGGAAATGACTTATATGCGATGCAAATTGCTTACCAGGAATCAATCGAGCACATTATGAGCCCGAATTCATGAATTGCAACTTCTAAGCAGTGATAGTAGCTGAATCGCATTTTCCGCTTCGATTCGTTGTTTGCTTTTTCAATTAAGCCCCTGCTGACAGCACATTTCTAGCTGAAATCATTTGCTGCCCCTCACAGAAGTACTGCATAAGGAATGTGCTTGTCCCTTGGGGGCATTGGCACGCATTACATATTGCACAAAGGAAGTGCTCATTCACAAACACACACACACACACACACACACATACACAGGCAAACACACGAGGATGAGTATGAGTATATCCTGATTAGTCATCTAAGGGCATGTCGTTATATAGCCGCATTCATGCTGCTTATTGTTGTTATTGCTGCTGTGCTGTTGTCATCATTCGTAACATCTCATTTAACTTACGTTCTCTGATTGTGCTCTTTTTTCTTTCTATTGCAGAGTTATAACGAATTACTTTGTAGTTTCCTTAGCCATGGCTGATATAATGGTCGCTATTATGGCCATGACATTTAACTTTAGTGTGCAAGTAACTGGTCGGTAAGTACAACAACATCCACAAATAAAATAACACAAGCACACACATTGCCAACACGAGCTACAAAAGCAACAACAAGTGCAACAAAAACAAGAACAAAAGTAAGGGGAAACAGCAGGCAGTGGCTGCAACAAAAATTACAACTGCATCTGCACGCCGGACCAAACAAAACGCCAGCCGAGTGAAAGGGGTCTTGTTTGCCACTGCAAAAGCCGGCGGGGAAGCAGGGGCATCGGAAGGACTAGAACAAACAACCGAAAATCCCTGAAAAATGAAAGCAACATTTATTTATGCTGCTTGCCGTACATTCTTGGTGTGGGCAGCACATATGTGCTGTCTAAGTAGATGTGTGCCTCCTTGTGTGGGTGTCTAAGTGTGTGTGCGAGCATGTGTGCGTGTGTGTGTATGTGTGCGGCAAATGTAAATGCAAAAAGTCATGCCACTCTCCTTTTAAGCTCATATGCGTACAATTGTGTTCAAGCTTTAAAATGTGCAAGCAAGAAAAATTTACGAAAAATACACAAAAAACCACTATGAATTTCAAATACACTTTTATCATTAACATTTTTTAATGAATATTTAAAGCAATTTGTTGTTATGTCACAGGTTGGTGAACAGCACAGGTTAGTGAATTTTTGAAACTGTTTGTCATGAAGATAGTAAAAATAAACATTTTCGAGCACAATCAATTTGCTTAATATTTAAGTGTAGATTTTGTGTGTATTTTTTACTCAATATATCAATTAAAGTACAATTAATATATGTTAGAGCAACTTTCTTTATTAGAAATAGTTTGAAATTCGTACTAATTTTTGCATTTGTAAATAAAATGTTCCTATTCTAAAGATGACACTGTAAATTTATTAAAAACACAGGTGCTACAAACGCTGTCTCCTAGTTTGAATGCATTAATATTGTTAGAGTGAACATACTTATGGAAAATGGGCACACAGAAACGCTTGCTTTGCAATGGCATTCTATGGTACAAAAACCGTCAGAGTGTGACACGGTCACATCCTTCACACAGGCTGTATCTCTCTCTCTCTCTCTCTCTCTCTGTGCGTGTATGTGTGTGTGTTTGTGTGTATGCTTGTGTGTGTGTGAGCGCGTGTGAGTGTGCATGGATGCAACTGTAATGCGATGTGTGCATATGATGCCAAGTGCAGATACGTAGCTGGCTGGCTCAGTTAATTATGCACGGACGCTACTTTAAGGCCTGGCTTAAAGCTCGCCTTTTAGCTTTAGTTCAACACAAATGTTTGCAATGTCATCGCCAGCAATGACGCGTCGCTGCATCGCTGAGAGCAGTGCATAATGTGCACACTTGCAGCCAGTCGTGGCATGATGGCAACGAGTGCCGAAAATTTCACTCGCTTGCCACTTGGCCACGAGAGTTGCATATAAATTGGCGTTGGTCGCCGTTTGGTGCATACCCAATGTGCTCGTTACCAAACCCCATAGCCACCCACTTGGCATTCATTAGCAATTTTACCTTCACAGTCGCTAGTTGCATAATTGACACTAGCCTACGGCGCCAACATGGCCAACGTCGTCGTCGTTGTCGTGGCAACTTTTATATAGGCTAGCTTGAGCGCCAATTCACGACAGTGCACAAGAGAACAACCAAAAAAGAAAGAGGAAAATAGTAAAAAAAAGGAAGAAAAACAAAAACCAGAAAAGTCCGCGCCCACAAACCAGTCCCAGTCTAGATCCTGGCATTACTGCAGGCGTGCGCACACAGTTTCTGAATAGTCGAAAAGTTTTTGAAACTGATGCCAAACTGGTCGCCCGATAATAAATTTTCCAGCCCGCTGGCAAAAAGAGGCAACGACTAGTCGAGTTGGTTGAGTTGTTCGGGCTTATGGGTGGGGTGGTTAGGTGGGCTTTAGGCGGCAACTAGCAGCGACAACAACGCGAGTTTTAATGAGTTTTTCATGCAAGCCCCTCGCTTATGTGTGTTCGGGTGTGTGTTTAGGTGTGTGTGTGTGTATGTGTGTGTGTGTGTAAGTGTCTGTGCTTGCGCCTCTGCCAGTGGTAAAGTGAGGAGCATTGTTGTAGTCACCACGGACCATTTTGTGTCGTACAGTGCATTAAAGCTTTTCATTTCGTTTTACTCAGCGAGAGCATCTTGGGCTTGAAAGTATGTCAGTTCATGGGCAATGTCACCTTGTAGCCCAACCTAAGATGACTAACTAAAATTAAATCGATAAAGGCACAAATCAAACCTACTGATAAAACATTCAGTGACTACCCAAGTAAAAGACTTAGAAGCTTCTACAAGCAAGAGCTTAAGGATTTTATAGCATACTTTTTGGGGCAATGTCTAACTTAGCTTAACAAAGCACTTTTTAAGCTAAAATAATTTCAGGGGCTGATTATAAATGAATGATTAAAATATTTACAGCTGGAACTTTAGCCCCTTTCTGTGCGATCTGTGGAACAGTTTGGATGTGTACTTCTCAACAGCAAGCATTTTGCATTTATGCTGCATATCTGTGGATAGGTGAGTACTCACACACACCAACACCCACATGCGTGTGTGTTGCTCATTTGGCGCTGCAAATGACAGCTACTTGAAATGGTAATAACGGTGGCCTGGCTCTTCTGGCATCTCCTTTTGCAGATACTATGCGATTGTTAAGCCGCTCAAGTATCCGATTAGCATGACGAAACGCGTGGTTTTCATTATGCTGTTGAACACATGGATATCGCCGGCACTGCTTTCGTTTCTGCCCATTTTCATTGGCTGGTATACGACGGAGGAGCACAAAGTATATGTGATGGAGAATCCCGAGCAGTGCTCGTTTGTGGTGAACAAGTACTATGCCATCATCTCGAGCTCGATTTCGTTCTGGATACCCTGCACCATCATGATTTTCACTTATCTGGCCATTTTTCGGGAGGCCAATCGTCAGGAGAAGCAACTGATGATGCGGCACGGTAACGCCATGCTGATGCATCGTCCATCGATGCAGCCATCAGGTAAGAATGAGAGAAGGCCAAGGCTCGAATTACCATTGAGACTACAGCTAAATGTCAATCCTTGCCCATTTATCTTGTACCGTTTGCCAGGCGAGGCGTTAAGTGGCTCGGGCTCATCGAAAACGTTGACACTGCATGAGGTCGAGCAAGAGCACACCCCCACAAAGGACAAACATTTAATCAAAATGAAGCGGGAGCACAAAGCCGCCCGCACTTTGGGCATCATCATGGGCACTTTTATACTCTGCTGGCTGCCATTTTTCCTGTGGTAAGTGTGATACCACCCGCTGGCCGAGGACTCTTCTTGTAATTTATTTAATGTGGTGCATGAATAATTAAATATTTCTCATACGCCATGGCATGACGAGACTTTTGAGTGGGTTCTCTTTATATTTATTATTTTTTTTGTCTGGCTTGATATTTATATATGCTCTTAACTTGCTTCTTTTATTTGCCAAAAATAATATATTATTATTTTCGAGTTGTATTATTTTTGTGCGTGTTTTTATTAAATCAGATTCTTAAATTCTTGTTATCAAGTCGATGTTATTTTGTTTTTTGGTTGCTCAATGCTTAAAGATAAGATGCTTTGTGACTTGATAATTGTATTACATGTAAATACTTGATTACTTAGTTGATTGCTTGATTTGCAGGTACACGCTATCGATGACCTGTGGGCCATGTCAAGTGCCTGAAATTGTGGTGTCGATACTCTTCTGGATTGGCTACTTCAACTCCACACTGAATCCGCTCATCTATGCGTACTTCAATCGTGATTTCCGAGAAGCTTTCCGCAACACGCTGCTCTGCTTATTCTGCAACTGGTGGAAGGATCGCCACTTGCCCCTCGACATTGACATACGCCGCTCCAGTCTGCGCTACGATCAGCGTGCGAAGAGTGTCTACTCGGAGAGCTATCTAAACTCAAACACGCCCTCACATCGCCGCCAGTCTCAGCTGGTCGACAACTTATAATACAGGGACGAGGCGCTGCTGACGCCCATTGCTCAGCAGCAGCAGCGGCTGTCAGCGGGCGCCTGTGGCTCCGGATTGGGCGCCAGAGCCGGGGGCCAAGCACCGGCCAGACCGAGCTTGGGTAACCTGTCTGCCGAAGATGTGCAGGAAATACAAATCGAAATACCCATGGAGTATATCAACAAATGGAATAAAAACAACAACGCATCCGCAGCGGCAACGGCATCCAGTCATGTGTAAAAGACTGAGAGATCACTAGCCGATGACAACGACAACAATTCGGACAGTGGCAATGACGCCTCAATCGAACAAATGCAATTACAATTTTCCATTAATTTTTAAAATTAATATGCTGGTTGCATTCACATTGTACATATTTAAGTCAAATTTACGGAATTACCCGTGCACATAGTGCACATACATATAGTATGAATGTCTGTAGTCTGTTTACTCTTTCAACTTTATACTTGACTTTCTGGGAGCACAGTAAACAGTTTAAACTTTAAACAGAATGCATGACATAATCTATTATTTATTTTTATTTTGTAACTCACTTTTTATTATTAAGTTTAATTGCGCCTTGTAAATAGTTAATTGTTTTTTATATATATACATATGTATATATATAAATAAATTATACAACTAAAGTAAGCTCAGGTTGTAAAGCGTTCAGCGTTAAAAAACATTTCTATGCCCAGCAAAACTATTCTAAACGAATTTGCTACATCATTCAAGGGGCAATCATTAGTTTAAGCTAATCGTCTAATTAGGCAAGCGGGTTATGACATGAGGCAACCAAGCAATAGAGATCAAACTAAAAATAATATACCTATAAATAAAACTTAAACAGTGCCAATTAACTAAATAACAAATGATGTACTACACATGCATACTTTAATGCAACTTGTCGCTAAATGAAATAAAAACATAATTTTAAATGTTGGCACGTATGCAATTAAATTGATGAAACTAAACCCAAAAAAAAAAAAAATACATTTATGTAAGTATACAAATATACAATACATATAGAAATAATAATATATATGAACGACAATCGCATGCAATAAGAATGCTCAAATTATGTTTAGATCATAGTGAAATTCATAGTTAAACCAAATATAGAATGCATTAATTGATAGCATTAACGAGTGGCAGTCAAAATCAAAACTAATCTAGTGAACATTGAATAAACCTAATCTAGTTCCAAGTACTATATACAATATACAATACAATACAATACAATGCATCGATATCGTTAGCTCAACTCAAATTCAAGTCAAGTCAAGTGAATGTGAATGTGAATAACAATGTGAAATTAAATCGGGTGCGCGATGGTGATGTTGTGATGTGGTTGTTTCTCTTTACTAATAGATATGGAAATTGGGTTGCAGTTCCTGGAATTAAGTTGACTGTGTAGCCTGTAAGAGGAAGGCTTGTGCACTGCTTACAAAGTCAGCAACTTGATTCCAGCAATTGCGGCTCAAACTCAACGTTGAACAGTGTCGAGTAACCAAAAGAAAAAAATACGACTTCCGCATAATTTGAATTTGAATATCTGTTGGGCAGGTCAGACTGCTCTCAGCAACAATGGAGCTTCATTGTTATTGAAATCTAAACAAAGAAAATAAATAGGAATATGTACCTAGATCTACCGAGCAGCATTACGCTATTGTATTTAATATTTGTGACCACTGGAAACTGCTTGAGCAAAATATGAAACCTAAAAAAAGAAACCAAAACAAAACAAAACTTCAACATGTTAAAAGTTAATGTTTAAAAAAAAGCCACAAAATGTTGTTTTTAACTTCGATACTAGTCAAAAGAAAAATAATAATATAAAACCATAAAAATGCAAAGCAACATAATTATAAAGAGCCAATGCTCTTTGTGTACTATATAAAACGTGTATTAAAATGCATCACTGTAAATGTAAATGTATAATAGTCAATGTGTATTATATGATTTTCCTTAATTATAAATGAATAAAGGCAACAAACTCCAAAGAACTTGTTATATTTTTATAAGCAAATCAAAAGCTAAACTAATTTCTATGTCTAATGATGTTTATAGTATATATATATGTTTATGTATTTGTACGAATATGTTAATGTGAGTGTTATTTATTTTTCTGCTAACATTTTGTGTTATTTGGTGTATTTATTGCTATGCTGTTTTTTAAACTAGTTGCGAAATCTAGAATCAAACTACAAACAAAAACGAAATGCAAATTTAGCCTCGACTAGCAGGCAGCAAGAGCAAGCATCATAAAATATGTGAATTATTGTAAAAGCTAAAATGAAATATTAAAATCAAATTGGAGAAATTAAATAATTTAACAAATGAAATATATATGAAAATAAAAATTTGGAAATATACTACATCACGTTATTTATAATCAAATCTAGGGTTGACATAATTCTGGGTAGCGACGCTTTGATTGTAATCGTCAAAGTTCACGACATAGCCACTCAAAAGTAAATAAAAGCAAGTCGGGGGACAAAAAGCCCAAACTCCAACTCAAAGGACATTAACAGAATATTATCAGCACAAAAGTAAAGCTGATTACTGACGCCGACAGTTGTAAACTTCTAAATAACTGCCACGGCTTGGCTGATAAATTACATAAATTCTTGTCAACACACACCCTTGCTGCGTGCCTGGCAACAAATGGGGTGTCGTACACGGCGTATGAGTGATTTTTATTTGGCAGATAATTTAACCGGCGTCATGACAATGAATCCAACCTTGGCACCCCATCACTTGGCCAAAGTAATTTGTCAGATTTTTGCGTCGCCAATAAGGAAAATAAATCAACCGAGTCTAACAGCAAACGTTACTGAAAAGCTGTCTTAATACTTTTAAATAACATTCTGGCCAGGTCGACAGTTCTTTGCCATAAATGAGATTTTTTTTGCTTGGAGCATGTAACAGAGACACCATCAAAAGTTCCCTTACAAAAGTTTACACTGCCTCCCTCGTACAATTGCCAAGTTGGTAAACTTTTGCCATATTTAAAACTCATAAAGCATATTTTTGTAGTCCAAGTCGAGTGTGTATGTGCGTGTGTTTGTGACAGTGTGAATGGTGCTATATTGAAAATGCCGACAATATTATGAACCAAAAATAAACGTAAATATTTTTGAGGAAAATACGCGTGAAATGAACCCCGTCCACTGTACCACCGTGAAATACTTTGATTTGTCTGCAAGAAAATGATATTAAATTTGAGAACGAGCCGTGGGTAACCTATTTTAAATCATCAATCAATTAAATAATAACGTTAACATGTACAAGTTTTTAGCATAACATTGTACAGTGGTACAAAGTAGAATTCGGAAATATGAAAAAAAGATAAATGAATGCATTCAATCATTCAAAATAGATATTAAATGTAGTCATAAATTTGCTACAAACGCACCAGTGAATTTTTATTATATCATTTCGTTCGCATGGACTATTGTCAACCAAGTGTGCATTATACCATGAGTTTCACACAACAACAAAACGCATAATAAATATGACAGAAAATCAAAGTTCATTCATCAAAGTCGAAATTAAATTTTTGCACGTTTGACTTCTACCACTTGACATTCTACCCAAGTCAGATTGGCCCGCAGTCAAATAACGATGCTCCCTAGACACGAGGTGCACCGCCCACAACGGTGATCCATAATTTCTCAGGCAGCCAATCATCGCTCAAAAGAAACGCCAATTTGGCCGTGACAAGTGACAGTGACATCGACGCTTTGGTGTCAAGAGCTGAGTACCAATTCAACTGCCTCAGCGTTTATTTTTTATACTCTATACACACTCGGACTCGTTTTCATCATAGAAAGAAAAACTCAGCAAATGTATATTTTGATGGAGTATAGGTCTAGGTCAATGAGCTGACGCGACATAGCCTTGCCCGCGTTTTTGACTATCGCACAATATATGTACATGTACATCAAAAGGAACTATTTGTTAAGCAATTTTAAATACTGATCGAATATTTTATACATAAACATCTTCACATACAAATATATTTGTTGCCTGACAATTGCTGTGAATTTGTACATAATTTTGATTGGCAACTAACACTTATCCAAATTGTTCAAAATCGTGAAGAAGTTAAATTTTGTGAATTTTTATACTTTGATACCGAGGGTGTCATAGTATATTGGTTTTGTGCAATGTCCGTCATGCTGTCTGTCCGTCTATATGAACGCAACTTTTTTCGACACCCTTAGAGATTGAGACTTGAAATTTGGAACACATACTGATCTGTGACCGCGTCAAACAAAGTGTAAAAATTGGAGTGCCACGTCTACCAGGCGGCTAGGAAATCGATAAAATCGACATTCGCAAATCAACAAAGCCACATATCTCGCACAGTTTTAAGGTTAAAGTCACCAAATTTGGTTGGTATATTGCTGACGATTTTTGTATTTATATTATTGGTAGTTGGTTTTTAGAACCGATAACAAATTTGTTTGCCAACACAGCTAGAGTCACCATGTTTTGAAGCTTATATCTATCGCAATTTGAAAAGCAAACTTGGACAGTATTCCTTGACTACACCCACCCTGTTCTTTACTACCCAATATCAGGTTTAATCAGATATCAAAGTATTTCGCAGTCGGTTACATCCGACTGCAACGTTCTCTCTTATTTTTTTATTATTATTAGTATTATAAAATTTCAATTAGTTGTTGTTGTATTTATTTAAAAGAATTGCTGCTAAATTGAATTATCTTATAGTTAATCTGATGCAATCTAAAATTTTATATTGTTTTACTTTTCGACAAACAACAGAAGAGAGGCAAGGCCATGAAATCTAAAGCAAATACGTTTAGTTGTTGTTTTTAATATTATTTATTTAATCTTAGTCTACTTAATTTAAAATCAAAATCCGACAAAAAGCTTAAATGCCTAGGTGCTGTTTTTGTTATAAGCAACATTTTGTTGTGTTAAATTGTCAGGATAATTAATTTTGAGCATATGAAACTTCATAATTTTGGTGTGTTTATTTTGATTTGCTTTTAGCTTTTTGCCAAATAAATATAAATGTGTACGAGGCACGTCAACTAGTAGATCTGCACATTAAAATATTTATATATAAATATATATATATATATATATATAGTATGTGACAGTTGTATATATATATAGATTCGAATCTCAGCAAATGTATATTTTGATGGAGTAGAGCATTATATATATATATACATATATATATATATACAACTGTCACAGACTCGCAGCTCAGGCGACAATGGAGAATTCAAATGCGCTGTCGTTGTTTTTTTATGAAATTTTAATAACTTTCATAGGAAGCACACCCAGCAAACGATGTGGCACCGGCATGTTGCCATCATGAGTTGATATGCTTAGGTAGTTGCTGTTGTTGTTCTTGCTAATGCCTTGCCCCTCTGGGGGGCCTGGGTGGCATGTTATTGTTTGCGTCTGCATTGCTTGGCACGAACCCACCACAATATCTTTTTTAGATTTACGCACGCTTTTGGGTATGCCATCAAAATATTGTTATTACAAATGCAAATATTGACGCCGTGCAAGGGGGTTGGAGGGAGGGGGGGCAGGGTGAGGGGCTAGTAACTGGTAACTGGTAACTGGGACTCGTCTCTCTGTGTATGATGTATGAAATCGAAATGTAAATGCGAAGGTAGCGTTGGTTCTGGATCGCCTTGGGCAAAATGTTGGCATTTTGATTATGCGGCAGATTCATTCAAATGGGCTTCGCCTGCTCCCTGCGACCCAAGGGATGCTGTTGGCGCCATAATCAAGCGTGCCGGATTAACAGAGTTGCGCCGGACGTAGTAGGATTAGTTGAACAGTATCCATTGTCAATGCAAGCACGATTTATTCGCTTCAAATTCAGATTAATGCTTAATTTAGAATGTAAGATATTTTATTTAATTGTTATTTGTCCAATTAAAGATCGAGGCTTTGCAAACTTTAAAGAAATAGGATCCATTTTGATTTACTACGGTCGCATGCAACCCTGTGCGCTTTTCAAATTCGCCTTCCGCGCCAAAATTCAATGCGCCGAAGCGCTCTCCACCAAGTTCCCAATTCGCCGCAGGTCGCGTGTTGTTTGGCCGGCAAGGACTTGGCACGCTGCCTCAACATTCAGTTGCTGTTCAGTTATCAAAGAGGGCACACGCCATAACGCAGTAGCAGCAGCAGCAGCAGCAGCAGCAGCAACAACATCATCATTACAACAGCTGCGGTTGACACTGAAAACAATAACATCATCATCATCATAACAACAATTGAGACCTTTGTCCACTCATCGTGTGCCACACATGTGTTACAAAAAAATTATAATAAAATATAATAATAGTAAAAATAATCCAAAATGGAAGGAAAGTGCTAGTGACAGTTGCCGGCCTCGTTGTCTTTGTCGTTGTCGTTTCGCGTCTAACTCAAGTGCCACTCAGTCCAGAGTCAGAGTCAGAGGCGACAGGACAATCGGCCGTGCGTGTTTCGATTTTGGCTTTGGCATTGCCAGCTGCTCTGCTTCTGCTTCTGCTCTGCTCGCAGAGGCTCCCGCCACCCAAACCGAAACCCGATACAAATTTATACGTGAATTGTGTCCGTGTCCGTTTTTGGATTTCGTTGTATTCGTGTGCGTGTGTGGGTGTGTGTGTGTGTGAGGCGTCTTGCACGTGTTTACATTGCTTTTGCTGGCCAAAAAAAAAAAGAAGAAAAGAAAAACGTGTAGCAAGTTGCGGGCAGTCGTGAAAGAAATTCAAAAGAAATGTTCGTTATTACAAATCGATTTCGCGTCTAGCAATAAAAATAGCACAAACTGCGACCTAATGATAGATTAAATAACACCAAGAAAAAAAGAAAGAGAACAACAACCAAAATCGTTAAAAATCAAATTGTAAGAAGTTTTGTCTGATAGCAGCAATAATAACAATAGCAACAACAACATTGACAACAACAACAAGAACAACACATCACAGACAACAATAAACAGCGATAAAAAGCAACAGTCAAACAGTCAAACAAAAAGTTTCATTCTCGTGTTGCAAACGCCACAAGTAACACAGTAAGGCCCACGTCAACCCCCTCCCCCTCGCATCCGATCAGACAGCTAAAGGCAAATCGACAACGACAATGGAGGTGGCAGGACCTTCAGTCTTATCCATATCCACCTCAAATGCTAAAGCTACGGTCAACCCCTGCTCCTGCTGCACCTCCAACTTCAGATCCTGCTACGGATACCCAACACGCGTTCAGCAAGTAAGCAAACAATAAAAACTTTTTTCCTCTGTTTCCTCGCGACGCTATTTCAAGTTATCCACCCGACCAAAAGTGAGCAGTCAGTCAGTCAGTCAGTCAGTTGGCTGGTTACGTAAATTGCAACTGATGGGCTGGTCAATTGTTGCGACGTCTTTCAGGGTCTGCTTTTAATAAACTTAAAATTTGTAGTGGTTTCATAATTTTGATACCTTCAAAGTTGGCTTGTGATACTGTCACAGCCACGCTTAGCCTTTGGCATCAGAAGGTGCTCAGCGCACACTGCTTTCGAATATTACAAGCATGCTGTGAAAATTCAGAAGATTTAAAGTTTTTTTATTCGTTTTTTTTTAATACTTTCAGGACCATTGTTGCCAATTTTTTTTATTCTTTGAATTGTTTATTTGTAATTATATTCGGAAAAATACTAATTGAAATATTTTAAAGTTATTATTTGTAATTATATGCTCATATTAGCAAAAAATTACTAATATATAAGACCCCCCAATTCAATTTAACCCTGAAGGGGTAATTATTTGCTAATGATTTTATAAATTCGTTATAAAAAGTAAGAGGACTAAGAGCTGATCTTTTAGTTTCACATTGAAATCAAATATTTCAATTAAAATATTGAATAATAAGGCAGTAAGGAATATGAAAATATGCACATATGGATAGTTAGTCAGATTTGGAAGTGTTTGACCATCTCGACGATGTTGTACAACCACCAAATACAATGTGTGCAAACATTTTAAGCCAAGTTCGGTATCGCAGCACTGAAGCCTACATAATTTTTGCAAGTTGTACAACCTGATGGCATTGTCGGTGTAAGTTTTCCCTGTTTTATGGTTGCTTTCCTTCGTTTCATCCTGTCCTTGGAAAAGTGCAAAACAATCAAAGCAAAAATCAATACATACCTCCAAACAACTTCTGCAAATGCAAATAGAAAAATGGGCATTCGATAGAAGAGAAATGGCCCACAAGAACACAATTAAATAGACTGAAAACTCTTCTTAATTATTCTTTGACGTTGAGACCACAGTGCAAGTTCACTGGTCCGCCTTCGCTCTCTCTCTCTCTCTCTCTCTCTCTCTCTCTCTCTCGCTCTCTCTGTCTTTGCTGTGGCGTACTTTTCTCGGCCTGGATGCTATTTGCCACTCGATTTTCTGTAGCCTCTCAGCCTCCTGACATTTGCTTTTAGTCTGGCATCATTTTTTTTTAATGTTGCCGCTTGTGCAATCGATTTTGTTGGTAAAGGCCTTTTGGGGTGATTTTTACATACCTTTCAATGAACTTGGCTTATTCGTCTGGCTTTTAGAATCAAATTTACCATAAGCCCATAAGTTTTTGATTGAAAGTTCGTTTCTGCTATTGCAATTTTTTAACATAACTTGCATCAACTGCCTGACAACAAAATAGATAACCACGCACCTGTATAAAAATACACACACATTCACACACCAGGACACACACATTTGATGTCATGTACATATTGAAACTATTTGAGCTACGCTTGAAATAGTTTTGTATCTGTGAAAGTCTGTGAGGGTTCAGCTAGTTGCAATGCTGTCAATGCTATATTTATTTCTGTATTTGTACATGCACAGTTAGCGAAGAATATTACACAGTATATAAAATATGTGAATCCAGTTATAAAAAGATAGCTAATGCTAATGCCTGACTTAAAGCCCTTAGATATTTGCGCACAAATGTTTTAAATGTAAATGGCATTATTCATTCCAGTGATATTTCATTGACCCGCTTCCCTGTTGCCTCTCAAATGTCTTTCGATAAATGGCCGGATAAATGATAAATAGAATAAATGCCTGTTGGTATTTTTGTTTGCCATTCTTACGGCAGTCGCTATGTGTGTGCGTGTGTGTGTCTGTCTGTCTATGGGTGCTTTTACTGTTGTGATTGGCGTCTCCGTTTTGGATTTAACTGTAAGCTTATCGGATTCATTGCTGGCATAATGATGCAGTATAGCTGGAAATCGCTGAAAATGCCAACGCCAATGTTGTAGCAAGGATTGAAAATTAAATTAATGTATTCATCATACTCTGTTCACCATGAACAAACCCAACTAAAGAATTTTTTAATTTGTGAATCGAAATTCGAAAATACCCTTGAATGTATCCACATAATTAAATTAATATTATATAATTTTCACTTGAATTGTACAATTGAAAGGCTGAGAAAATACTTTAAATATTGGAATTCCAAATAAAAACGACAGCAATATGGAATATTATTTTGTAGACAGCAGATGGCTTTTGATTGCAGTCCACAACTAAAACCATTTCCCAAATAGTACGCCAACAGAAACATTTAAATCAGTTTTGTATTTTCATTGAGCACTCAACTGAAATGGGAAACGGCTTTTGCTTTTAAATTTTATTAGTCAATAAATACCTGAAATTACTTCTATATGTATTTCAATTCCGACCAGAAGTGTCTGGCAGTTGCTACACAATAGCAAAAGCTGCAAATTAATATTATAAGTGCCTAATAGATTAGTTGTTGATGGTGCGGTGGTGGGCAGGGTAATAAACGATAAACGCCACTCATTATAATGACTTCCGCTTCCGGCTTAGGCATTGCCACTGCTTATATCATTAAGTACCTATAAGTTGGCAGTTGTCTTCAGGCATTTTGAATCCTCGTCAACCGTTTGGGAATTGGTGGCCTTTGCTTTGGAACTTTACTTTTTACAACTTACTTTTCAGATTTTCTTTATTTACGAACTAAATAAATAACCACTAAACAATATACTTATGTCCAGAAGTTTCACTACAAACTTTGCTAATAACACAAAATTATGCTACAATGGAGTTATTGATTTTTTTGACACGAGCATAGTCAAGAATATTTGATACTTTACGAGATAAGGCACTCTGGGAAGCGACTTTCTAACCGGCATATCTTAGTTACCAAATCAGTTGGCAAATGTAAACCAATAGACGTTTAAGCTAATCTAACCCATCCTTATCGATTTGCAGCAGTAGTTTGTCTTTGTTTGACGAGCTGAGGCCAAGTGGAAAGAAATAACAATAATCACTTAATTACGAGATAAATGCTTTATACCAGATACATCTCCATCTTTTCTACAAATTTCTAAACTATTTATTAGAGAATTGATTTAAAGTTGAAGTTGTTTCTTTATAAATGAACTGTCTAAGCTTGACAAGTATTGTTGAGACAGCCCTCGAGGACACTGCCATCATGAGTATCTGTCATACTACTTGTGTGTGCTTTGCACTTGTCGCAACCTGGTCCAGTGCTACTGTAGTTTACAACTTCAGGAGCCACTAAGCTATCCTTTTGTGTGCTGGTTAGAGGTCCGCGCTAGCATAAACCTCCTAGCGCATGTTTCTCTCTTTCTCTCTCTCTCTCTCTCCCTATCTGTCTCTCTCTCTCACACATCATTGTGTTTCATTGAAAGAGGAGAATTTTCATTTTCATTCTAATTTTTTTCGCATTTGTTTTTTTTGTTGTATTTTTCTGTTGTGTCAGGCATATGTAAGCGCGGTGTATGAACCTCAATGTTTTGCTTTGTCCTTTTCTCGGGCCCCAGGGCCTTGTAGGCCTAAGCCTTTGTCTCTCTCAGGTCGTGTTTTTTTTTTTTTTTTTGGCTGCTTTTGATGGTGTTAGAGCATTGCTGCCGGCTTGGTACATGCATTATTTATGTTATTATCGATTTTGTATACGCTTTTCAGAGTAGACTGCTCTATTGCCAGTCACCACACAGGAATTTCACAAAAAAAAAAGATAAAAAGCCGTCAGAGTTGCCGTCGCCTGGCAAAATTAAATCATTCTTTACAACGAAGTTTGTGAGCTCATCAGCATTACTTTGAGTCCTGCAATTTGTCTGCCGCAGCAGCACACAAAAAAAAAAAAAATGGTTTTCACTTACGTGCTTTTCTTTGCATTTAGTTCTCAGCAAGCTGCTTGTACAGAACCGAAACTTAGTTATGTCGGAAAAAGGCCGCAATGTGGTCGACACGTCTGACTTTCAGCCTGATTTTAATTTTGACTTTTTAACAAAGTTAAGCAAACGCTCGAAATTGAATTTCGGGACAATGTCCAAGTCATAAATGACCAAACAAGCGCGCTCCTAAGTACACAAAACTCCATTTTCCTTGCTCCTTGCCGTACCCGCCCCAGCTCGGTTTATTTACACAGCTAAGGCCTAAATTAAATTTTAAGCTGTTGATTAGCATTTTCAGCCTTTTTGGACCAAAAGGTTCTGATATGCTGTTTATTGAACCCTGATTAGATTCGACAGCAGCGACGAAAAAGAAAGAATGCAAACAAATCCGATACAGCTTCGAGTGAAGGCTCATTAGAGGAACTTATTTATAAGACGAGATGCGTCGCGACATGAAGTGAAAACAGCTTTTAATTAAGCAGCTCAGACTCACACATTTTTTATTATTTATACATACATATATAAATATATAAATACGGCGGATAAGGCAGCTCATAAAAAAGGTTAAAGTTCAAAAAAGTTGCACGCATTCTTTAAATGAGTTGGGCTTCCAGTTTGCGACTTATTTTTATTCCATTAATTTTGGTGCTGTTGCAAAAATCTGTTAAATATACGTTTTTTTCTTTTTTTTTTTGCTTTTTTAATGAAATTAGACAGAGATGGTAGACGGTGCGTAATGGGGAGAGACTCTTTTAGCGGGTGGCTGCCACATCACTCAGTATTAGGTTGCGGCCTGGCTAAATCAAATTAGCCGCCTTCAACAAAAACCATAATCAAATTTTTTTTGCTACAAAGAAAATGAAAATATAAGTATCTAAGAATGTATATACCACATATATACAATCTATAGGTACTTCGGACTACTTGCAACATATTGGGACAGGCAACGTGCGCACTGAAGTGACGCCTTTCACTGCCGGCTGCTTAATTTACGCGACGAAGTAATTGGAAATGAACGCGACTCTGGCAATGCCAACAACATCAACAACAAAAAAAACAACAGCAAGATGTACAA